AGAAGAAGCAGAAGAAGCAGAAGAAGCAGAAGAAGCAGAAGAAGCAGAAGAAGCAGAAGAAGCAGAAGAAGCAGAAGAAGCAGAAGCAGAAGCAGAAGCAGAAGCAGAAGCAGAAGCAGAAGCAGAAGCAGAAGCAGAAGCAGAAGCAGAAGCAGAAGCAGAAGAAGAAGAAGAAGAAGAAGAAGAAGAAGAAGAAGAAGAAGAAGAAGAAACAACTAGGTAAATACAACTAAAAAATAAGGACTTTTTAATTAGAGGTTAGGTATAAGAAACATGGGCTGAGTGCTGGGATGCATCCCTATAATCCCAGCACTCTGGGAGGTCCAGGCAGGATGAATGCAATTTCAAGCAAAGCTGGAAAATTTAAAGACGTAGTGAGATCCTATCTCAAAATTTTAAAAACTAAACTATAAATAAAAGGGAACTGGGGAATATAGTTCAGTACAAATTCACTAAGTACTGGCGATTGTAGCACAGAAAAACTGGTATGTATAAATACTGAAGGAATTAACACTCACAAGATTTTTCTGTTCAGGTCTCTAAAGGTATTCAAATGAAAGATTACATTTAAAACAGACAAGAAAATGCCCTTTTCTGTGGTATATATCTGGAGAAAAATACTAGCTTCTGTTACAGAAAAGACATAAAGCTGTACCAATTTCCGTATCTCTTATGAGAAACAAAGCCTTATGCTACTGATGAAAAACAAACTGAATTATCTTAATGCACAAATGATCTAGTAAAAAACAATATCCATCTCCAATGACAAATAGCATCTTCTCTATTAAACATTACATACACAATATTTAATAATAAGCTGTAGATTTAAAAAGTTTTTTAAATGATATCTAGAAAGAAAAGCTATAGTAAAACATCAGATATTATAATATCACTCAGTGAACCATTAAAAGTAAATCAGTTAAAGGCTCTGGTAGGCAGGGAAAAAAAATGCATAAATCAATGAGCAATTTCAAAAGCTAGTAAGACACCATGATAACGAACCAAAAGGAAAGTAGAAAATTAAAAACTGTAACAGAAAAGAGTATCTTCAATGCACTCATCAGTAAACTTCACATAGCTGAAGCATGAATCTGTGAAATCTAGATCAAAAAATATTAATCTGAACATAAAAAGAAAAATTTAAAAAGATTAAATAGAAAAAAGAGAACATGGTAAACAAAAGCTATAGAGAAAACATAAGGCAGAAAAGTTATCTGATAATGTAAAAACTAAGAATTTTCCAATATTAATAAAAGATATCCAGTTACAGATCCAAGTCGAAGTAAAATAAAAAAATTTAAATCTAGATATAATATTAAAAATGAAGTTCAGAAATAAATATAAAAACAGTAATTTCTCTTCATAGATGGGAAAAATTGCAAGTCAATGGAATATCATCTCTAAAATACTAAAGAAAAATTAATCTGAAATTTTTTAATTCTGAAAGTACCTATCAAAAGTTAAGAAACAATGAAGGTATTTTGAGGAAAACAAAATATAATTATTTTCAATCTTTCATAATAAAAAGTATGATACACATAGACAGATATTAGATATATAGCACAAAGAAATGAAGTGTTACTGAAATGATATTAATGAAAGTAATTTTTTTCATCTTAATTAGCCTAAAAGATAAGTGACTAAAGAAAAGCTAGTAGGGTAACAGAAAATGTCCTCTGTCCTCCCCACCTCCCCTGGCCAGGTTACTGCATTCAGTTTCTTAGTTGCCCAGATAATGGTTCCTGTTTGAGTTTTGGTTGTTTCAGTCTCTTAAAAATGGCTGCTCACTGTGATGCATAACTGGTCACTGTGATGCACATTGTATAAACCAATCCCCAACTGAAAAGTCATTCTATTCTATACTTCCTGCTTGCTTATCCCATGGAAGCCCTCGACCACCAGAGATCAGGGCCTGTTTCTGGGAATGTTCCCAATCAATATCCATTGACAAAAATAAATTGGCCTCCAAATCCTGATTGTCATTTCAGCTACTTTGTTTGCATTAGCAATGTAAATAAATTATATATAAAAATATAATTGAAATAGTTACAAAAATTATATTATAGTTGATATGCAGAGTTAGATATAAGAAATAAAACTAGGAGTTAAAAAAGAGATTAAAGGACTCATTACACTAAAATTAACAAATCCTGTTACATTTTACATTGAAAATTTCCTGCAGAAGTCTCACATCCAAAAATAGTGGTTTTGTAAATTTTATATTATTTTCTTATACACATTTACAGCTTGTGGAACTCATAATCAACCTGGGGAGTAGTTGGTTACATGTACATATTACAGCTTGTTTTCTTTTCTAATCTCCTTCCACTTTCTTCTCCCTCCCCCTTCCTACTTCTTCCAGAAAGTTTAATACTTCTTTAAAGTTTACGTCTTTGACCTACTTTCATTTTAATGTAGTGTAAAAGGAGAGATAAAAACTCAGTTTCATTTTCCTACAAACAGATAATCCACATATCTATTCCTTTATCAGTACTGTGACTTTTTAATCACTACTGCTTTGAAGGTTAGCTTAAACTTCACCATGCGAGTATTTGTTATTGTCTGATGTCTTAATAATTTCTATTCTTTACGAAATCAGATAGAATCTTAATATTGTTTTAATGGACAGAGATGTTGAACATATTTTCATGTATTTGTTGACCTTTTATATTTCTTCTGTCAAGTATCTGTTCATTTCTCTAGCCCATTTTATAAATGAGTCTTTCATTTTAAGTGGCCTAATGTTTTGGTGCTCTTTATATAGACTAGATATTAGTCCCTTAGGTGACTAAAATATGGCAAGACATTTTTCACTTATAATGGGATATCTTCACTTTGCTGATACAATCCGATTTGTTGACGTGTGCTCTATTCCTTGTGGATATGAGGTTGCATTAAGGAAATCCTTTCCTACACCTATGTCTTCAAGGGTTTTACTTATTTTATCTTCCAGAAGGTTTAATACTTCTGCTTTAATGTTTACATCTTTGACCTACTTTCATTTTAATGTAGTGTAAAAGGAGAGATAAAAAATCAGTTTCATTTTTCTACAAACAGATAATCAGTTTTTGCCAAGACACATGTTAAATATGCTTTTATCCAACATATATTTTAGACTTCTTTGACAAAGATTAACACTTGTATCCTGTTCTGTTTCACTGATCCACATATCTATTCCTTTTTCAGTACTGTGACTTTTTGATCACTACTGCTTTGAAGTTTAGCTTAAAGTCTGGTATTGCTATGCCACCTAGTTTGCTCCTATCATTCAAAATTATTTTTGCTATTCTGGTATCTTCTGATGCAAATAAATTTTAGGATTATTTTCTCTATAGTTCTAAAGAATGCTCTTGGTATTTTGGATCTGTATTTTGGAAGCATGGCTATTTTTCCATTTCTGATGTTTTCTTCACTCTCCTTCAGAGAACTAAAGTTTTCTCTATAAAGGCCTTTCATTTCTTTGGCTAGATTACTTCCTCTAAAGTTCATTTTTCTTTTTTTCTTCTTTTTTTTGAAAACCTGTTTCTTTCCATAATTTTATTGAGAGACAAAGAGCAATGAGACAGTTTCAAATCAAACTGGTAGGACAGTTTCAATAATTAACACATTGCATACATTCTTTCCAGTGGTTATTTGCTGTACAAGATGCAGACATGATATCCTATTTACAAACACTATTACAACAAATCCCTCTATTCATTAAGAGACTGTAACTATGTATCTATTCTAACCATTTTGAATACACAGGTACAAAACGGACATTCAT